TACTATAAGGCTGTTTTTTTTTTGTTTTTTTATTATTACGTTTATTCTGGTTTGTTTTGTGTTTGTATCTTTTATTTTAAATGTATTTATTTTATGTTTTGTGAGCTTATCTCTCTGTACAGCACTTTGGTCTGAAGGTTTTAAAGTGCTATATAAATAAAGTTGGATTGGATTATCACAGCTGACACACAGACAAAGTTTATATAATGTATCTTGACAAGCCATCACAATGTGGGGTTTATAAGGTGCTGAATGAACCAAACTCTTGTGAAAAACCAAAACTGCACAAAAACTCTTTAATAGTAGTCAACATAAAATTAACTTTTAATGTGCTACAGTCGGTATTCAAGAACAAGCTTCATCCATATAGCTACTCAACCAGTAGGCAAGAGAGATGACTGTTCAAATCGAGGCCTCTTTTCAAACATCTGTCAAACCTAATATTAGTCTAGCTTCCTCCTCTTTCTTTGTGTGACCTTTAATTTTGAATAGCACTGCTACGATGATGTCACCATTCCCAGAACCTGGATTTCTATTGTGTTGAAAATGTATAAATTGGTTCAAACCATCACAGAGAAAACATTTGGACAGTTGTGTATAAAGTTAAAACAAATGTTCTCACCCAGCCTCCTCCATTTCAGAGTGGTTGGGCGTAGTGTCGTAATCGTTCTCCAGCATCATACTCTGTCCTTCCAGACTGCAGCCCTATAGAGACGTCAGTAAATGTAAACATAAATTAACATCAATCAAATACAGTAAACACTTGCATAACAAAAAAACATATTGCCAGGGCAAGTGTAGGCACATAGAAATTGGAATCATGCACTTCTGACAGTTCACACCATCAGAGATTTGGTTTCAAAGCTGATGAAGAGAAACTGACAGGAAATGTAAACCAGGTCATTGCAGTGTCATACAGCTCATTCTGCAGTGGATGCGATTAGTAGAGGCGAAGAAATCCTGATGTAAACTGTGGGTGCTCTTACCAGTGTCAATGACTCATAAGCACATTGTGATGAGGCATTTTATTTGACTCATTGATATAGGACTCTGCTGTCTGACCATCCAAACAGCTTCCTCTGGTCCAACATCTCGTTATCACCTGTGATGTTTACATTAGCCAAATGAGCTCTGGTTAAGGTTCTCTGTGGAAGCAAAGTTGTTCAGATAACTGAACTGAAGCAGAGGCACTGTGGTGCATGCATGCAGGCAGGCCATACTGATCAAAAGCAGTTCAAAGACACAGGTCAAGAGGAGAGAGAAGGCTGTGGGGTCAAGCAGGGGGACAGCGTGCACCGTCCCCCGGGGCTGCCTCTGAGCCGAGGGGAACTTCAGTACTTAACCCTTCGAGATCGCTCGTCCCACGACCAGGACAGGGAAGAGGGGAAGGTAGGGAGGGAGGAAGCAGCCGTCCCCAAAGGACCCCTCCCAATCTAGAAAGGGGTCAAACCAAGTTGAGCATACTCTAAAATGAGATGCAATGAATGAATGAATGATTGAATGAAAAACCATCACCAGCCCCAAGCCAGGCATCATGATTATTGTCTCGTGGTGACAATCCAGTGGGAACATGAGTGCTTCTGAGCTTACGTTGGTAGGGAAGGGTTGTAAAACGACTCCGTCCTCATGCCGAGCCGCCTCCACTCGGTGGGGGCACTGCCTCGGGGAAGAGCCGGTCTCATACATGGACATGGCGCGGCCGCCGCGGGGCGGGTGTCGACCTAAGGGCCCCTGTAGGTGTTGTTGTTGTCCGCTGGGGGGTTGCCATCGCAGTGTTGTGTTTTCAGTCTGCAGGGAGTTCAGCTGCAGGGAACAAAACATCCTTCAAGTCAGCTCTAGCTGGGGGATGATCTCCTTACAAAAGCTTGGCCACACATTAATAATAGAGTAAAACACACAGTAGCCTCAGGGAGAGAAACACTTTAACACTTTATCCACGCCCAGTTCACCGTCACCTCTGTTTTGGTTTTCTCACGTTAAAAGGTTTGTTTCTTGAGAAGTGAAATGCTGACACTGTGTGTTTATATGAGAAACTGACACCCTTATTTACATTAGGAGGCGTCGAAAGAGCAATGGGAAACATGACTTTCTCCTTAGTGTTATGCAAGTCAACAAATGAACAACATACAAAACATTAAATAAGGGATTTTAGAAGCTTATTAGTTTACAAGTAAGGAGATATCTTGCAGTTCCACTGTTTCAGCAATTATGTTTTGGTAATAAAGATAAGGGACCGAAATGGAAAGTCACTTTTGTCAAATAGAAGCAGTATTGTTATGAAGTAAATAAAGCAGCAGTGGGAGGAGGTACGTCGTGTTAACACTGTCTCTCAGCCAAGTGAAGGCAGAAAGAAGCTGGGCTCTGGAGAGCTGTGATGCATATAAGAAAACCAGACTGAATGCTGCCATCTACCAACATGGGTCAGTGAGTGACAAACCTTGACGTCTTTCTTTATATACTATTTTCTAAGCATGCCCCCAAGATGATACACTTGGCAACATGATCAGGTGTTAGTGGTGACAACTGAGGACAGGCAGACATACATTCATTCATAAGGTGAGTTAGATAAGATATTATTTGAACATGTCAAGGTCAGAGTAATCAACATGTATTTGGTTGAGAGGGTATTACCCCATTTACACTTATTTACTTAGAACTGAGTGAAGAAAAAAAAGACTTTAAACAATCAAGACAGATTAAAATATGATTGCCAAATCTCAAAAATGTCTCTCCCCAAAAACAGATAGATTTTGTAGAAATATGTTAGCAAAGAAATAAGTAAGAATAGTCATAAAACAGTCCACAGCAGGGTCGGTGTATTTAAGATTAGGGTTAGTAACAGGAAATTGTTTCTTGACCCAGATACTGCTTTTGATTTGATATATCACTCAGTATTGGATCGAGGGCAGAACTCTTAACAAAGTAGGATATTCTTTCAGACTTTAGCAAGTAACACTGAATAAAACATGCTTGTATAAATAACGCTGAGGCCAAGTGGGGCTTTTTGAAGTTCTAAGAAATAAGGAACTGAACGATGAAATGTGACTAGAATAAACCTACAGCAGAGAGATTGGCTGTGTGCTGCCAATGGTGCTGCAGGCCTTCTGGAGGTGTGGGAGGGAGTGAGGAGTTGATAACTCGCCCACACTCAAACTCTAATCACTGCAACATTTAGGTTGTTTTTGGATGGTGGCGACTGCATGATCGTTCTGACTTAAGACGATGAATCATCATTTCCTCTATGGTAACTATTTGTTGATTTGTAAATGAGTAGTGAATCCTCCATCTATTTTAGACCACAAAGAACTATCAAATCAGATCTTGTTTGCCTTTTCACTGAGCAGCATAGGAGAGGAAGTCTGGTGATTTTTTATTATTACCACAGGAATTCTACCCCACCCAGAATCATAGCAGACATTTTCTCTGTAGCACTGAACACATTTCAATATTTCCGTATGACCTTTTTATGGCATCTTTATCAAAATACGTATACTCTGCAACTCAAAATGTATCCACTGTAGAACTCTATAGGGCAGAGGCAATGTCTGACACATGGAAACAGGCATGACCCGAACATATATTACTGATGTTTGTGGCTGAAATCAAATAACTAAATGTAACATCGCATTCGCAACATTCACAGCAGCTGGCCCCAGGCTCTGGAACACTCTGCCCCTCCATGTGAGGTCGGCCCAGACCCTAGGGGTTTTTTAAATCTACTCTTAAGACACACTTCTTCTCCCTGGCCTTCTAGTCAGAGCGGAGCACGACTCCTGACTTTTCCCTGTGTTTATTATATGTTGTGATTTATTGTGATTGTAGTAATGTGTTTTTATTACATGTACTGTACAGCACTTTGGCTCGACCAAAAATCGCTTTTAAATGTGCTTTATAAATAAAACTTGATTTGATTTGAACATAGGGCTGGGCGATATGGTCTCTAAATGATATCGCGATATTTACTGACTATCGCGATATACGATATATATCGCGATATTCTGAAATGTCCTCTAAAAAAAAACCCTTGATGTTTACAGTCACGCCAGTATGATGATTCTAGTAGTCCCTGCAACATATGTCTGCATTAAAAAAATCGACTAATAATGAAGAAAATGAACGCATTTGTTGCCATAGTAATTTATGCACTAACTACATTACTACTTGTACTACAACATTTGAATCATCAGTTCTTCCTCATTTTCCTCAATTGTTCATATTTGGTTTATTAAAATAATGATATTGTGGTCATTGTTCAAAAATGTCTACTATTATTATGAGTAGTATTATTATTATGTATAATGCGCTTTCTGCCTCCTGTCATTATCAGGAGTTTAGACATGTAATGGCTTATGTAGTAGATATAGATTAGAACTACATCTCCTAAACTGCTGGGACATTTCCCTAAAGCCAATACCTTTGTATATTTTCTACTCTTCACTTACTTGTCCGGCTAGGTCGGCTTTGATGTCCAGCCGACAGAAGACCTTGTTTATATTGGCATCATATTGAGAGGTGCAGTGCAGCGTCTAAAACCAGGAAGTAAGCTGTCTGGTTCCCTCGCAAAAGGCAATGGGATTTCTCCATAGGGTTTTGGAAATAGCTGGAAATAAGGTTGTGGAAACAAACCTGTTTGTAAACGCACGTTTTGTTCAGCCGGTAATATCCACATGTCTACCCTACTTTTATCATTTTCGAATCATAAATCTAATCTCGATAGATTATAAAAGGGTTTTAGGGACGCGTCACTGCACACTAGAAGCCAACTCCATCGATCAAGCTGGCTGAAACTTTCTCTCCCTTTCTTCTCATGCTCTGTCCACTCTCCTTTAACTCGTCGGTGACTTCTTTTATTTGAAGATAGTTTTTTAAATTGCCCGGCGCTCAGCGAAACGGACCGAGAGCAGGACTCCCGTTTGCCTTTTGTTCAACAACGGCAACGAGACATCAATCCCCAGCTAGCGTCGACATCCCGATATCGCGCTAGGAATGGTTGTTGTGTGTCCTCTGTCCAGTCATTAGCGAAACTACACCTGCAGGAAACATCGAAACACACTGCATTCTGATCACTGCGATGGAACCCGCTCACCCCTCAGCGTGACACTGCGAACAAATCTTACATTCTATATGGTTAGGACCGCTATATATTTTTGAGTGCGCGACACCCGCCCCCGAGCGGCGGGGCGCAGCAGCTGCGGAAGATACGTGTCCAATTGTACTTGTGGATCGCGGTCCGGCTCTTCCCGAGCAGTGCCCCCACCCGAGCCGGAGCGGGCTCGGCATGAGGACGGAGTCGTTTTACACCCTTTCCCTACCAACGTAAGCTCAGAGCACTTCATGTTCCCCACTGGGATTGTCCACGAGACACGTTAAGGTGATGCTGTGTCTGGGGCTAAATAGTGCTTCTGAGCAGGGGTNAGTGAATGCAACAGAGGCAAGTCACCAGACCAATCAGAGAGTTGCATGGATGCCACACACACACAGAGCCGAGCTTGAATGACACAAGCACACGTGTATTTCCATGCAACTCTCTGATTGGTCTGGTGACTTGCCTCTGTTGCATTCACTGAACACGGGAAATTGCAGTTCTGCCGTCCTCTCTTGTGTCATGACTCATGATGAGGTTCACGTAAAACACGGTTAATGTATTATATTATCGAGGTGTCTCAAATATATGTCAATCAAGTGGCACCTGCTAACGGGGTGGTGGATGATATTTTTCAAAAATTATTATTTTAATTTAATTTTTCTTTCTTTTGTTACTTTTTTTTTTAACGGTCCGCGATCTACCCGCACCACACTCACGATCGACCGGTCGATCTCGATCGACTGGTTGGCGACCACTGCCCTAAAGGGACATGATAAAAAAGGGTACAATGTCTCATAACATTTTTATTAATAATAATAATAGTTTAAGCCAAAACATGTTTGGAAAGACAACATTAACATTTGAAATGAATATAAAGTATTTTCTCTCTTTCTTTAGAACACTTTACAATCCTACGAACTTTAGTTTTGAGTACTTTTATTTATTTCTGCCATATAAATATATCACTAGTAAAAATGTATGATTGTACTACTTTTATCCATATTACTGATAGAGACAGTGATTCTGAGAAAATAGATTTACGAACTACCCTTTCTCATTAATAAACTAACATTTAATTAGGACATCAGTAAGTTTAACTCCAGGTCCAAGCCATATTCCAAGCACTGCATCATTTTGAATAAAATGTAAAGAGAGAAAATGTTTTAATGTAAATGTTATGAGATGGATATGGGACTTATCCATGTCATAAAATGTACAACCCCCAGCATTGGCCTTTCTATATTTAAAAGCAAATGTAACACCAGCATTGATGTGTTCCTCACAGTTTAGTCATGTGATTTAGTTTACAGCTCATGAAAAGCCATTGAAGTATGCAGCACCTTTTTAAATAAGACCTGAGAGAGCACGTGAATGATATACTTGAGCTTCCAACGTCAGCCCCGTAACCTGAACCAAGTGCCTCTCTGTAGCAGTAGGACGGGACATTTCTGACCTCACTAAATCCAGATAGAACCAGTTCTCCCCAGGCTAGCACACATGGCTGGTTTGCAAGACATTTGGAAATATATCAGTCACACTACATTACATACAACACCCTTTTCAAATCCTATACACACCTGGACTCTCTTTCTCTGCTTCAGAAACACATGAACTGAAAACAAAGAAAAGATTATAATTATTAGAATAGAACAGCAAGTTAAAAGGCTACCTAAAGTGCTTTATTTTGCTACAAACAAATGATTATATCAAGATATTATCGGCCATCTAACCTATGTTTTATTTCAGTTTTATAACTTTTCAATATTCTAATGTGATGTAGGAAGACAATCTTAAAGGATATAACGACAGAAAAAGATTTCTATGTTGAGGAAAGTCAAATGTGCCAGTCCTTCTGTGCCCTCTAACAGGAGTTTCCTATACGTGTTGTAGCATGAGAGGCATCATGGAACACACTGAACTACATTGTTCATTGTGTTGTCGTGCTCATACCCCTAACAGTATGTTCGTCCTGTGTTAATTGAAAAGAGTCTCGATAAAGATAATTGAAAAAACATCTGTACCAATTTAGTGTATGTTTGTGCTTTGTGAGAGTAGCTTATTTCCTCCTCTGTAGATTGCATAACACTTCCGTGTGTGTTCCCCATGAAGGGATCCGGCACATTACTCTAAAAGGCTGGCAGTGTTGTAAGGAGGTAGGCCTACATGCCCCAGTTGAATAACCAGCTTGACCAATCAGAGGAGAGGGGTCTGTCTTGGCAATCCAATAGAGTTTGGCACTGTTGTGCTACTGGAGATTAAATAAGGTCACATAAGTTTTGATTGCAATCGGATGACAAACTGTTTATTGGGGAATATACTGCAGAATGCATGACTCAGTATACGTAGGGTAACGAAAGACCTGAAGAGATAAGGTACGTTTATAGGAATTCTGTTGTATACGTGGGTAAATAAAAGAGTCACAAGATAGTTTTAGGAGACACAACATAAAATGCAGATAGAAAAAAAACAGACGACAAACAGATCAACACTTAACCAGTGTCTTGCAATTATCAGTGCCATATGTTTAGAAAGGTTAAATTACATTTAGAAATTGGTTTAACCTAGTAGGGGGGGCCAAAGGCAAAATGACCTGGTGAGGCCCTCTGCATAATATTTCCCCCACAGTCAGAGACACGTTGCTTTGATGTAAAGGCAAAGAGTAACATTATGTCTAGTAGCTACCCTTAGTTAGTTAAATCTCTGGTTAACAAAACATTCAAAGCAGTGCTTTCACATGGATGTTTGCGATTAAACTCTTTTACAGATCTGCCCACACAATTAACTGGTCGATTATTTAACAAATGTGTTAGCAGACTAAGAATTTCTTGAGTCGAGGACAGCACTACTTTTCTTTGCAACAATTTCACATTACATATTGTATAACATTCTCTTGCACTATTTTATTTTATCTGTTTTATGTCCTATATATATTCATGTTGCACTGTTGGAGGTCCCTTTTTCATTGCCATATCTACACTGTAGCTAATTTGTACCTGACAATAAAGCCTTGAATTGAATATTAATCCTGCATTTGCTCTTTCTAGTGTACAGCTCCTATTTCAACGTGCCTTCCCGGGTGTGGGGTGTCTCTTTTGAAACGGCCCCTTCTTGTTTACTCCTGTTTTCCAATAATTTCTTTGAAAGTATTACTTCAAATAGAGCATGGGCTTGGTCAGGAACTTGTATTGTACTTCATGTGATACGGGACTATACAAATAAACTTGACTAAACAGGCCTTTTGGGTTGAGCATGTTACATAACCGGTCTGGTTGCACATATGGCTTACATTAAGGTTGAAGCTGATTAACCGTGCTAGGTTTGGAGCATTAGTACACCACTTCCTACTCTGTGAATTCAGAAATATGAATGAAAAAGCATTACTTACTCCATTTCCTTCTTCTCTGCCTCCTCTTGTGTCAAGTCCTCTTCAACACTATAGTCCAAAACTGCCCCAACACCAAAAGCCTGGTTCTTCCTGATTAAAGGTTTGATGGAGTTGTGGTCTTCCCCTGCCACAAACTGACCATAGAAGGTCAGCTTCATCATTTTCTCAAACATCCACTGACCAAACACCTTCCTAGTCAGGTCCATCAACTGAGAAAAACAAGAACAATTATAGTAATTATTATTGTCTTATAACAGCAGACTCCATTAGGTAATAGGACATCCTACTCAATGCAGTACTTGTGCCATACAATTTGCCTCATTAAGAGCAGCACAAACACTTGGATGTTCTTAAACTTAATCGAGGAAACTAATTCAACTCACCTCTTTGTTCTTTTCAACAAGGACATCAATAGTGCAGAGCTTGAAGACCAGCAGACTTCGAAGCAGTTCAATATTTCCTTTGCTTCTGTAGGCTTCCTGTGTGTTGTCGAAGTCGATGCTAATTTTATTTAACAGTGTCTTTTTGACATGGCTGATGAGTTCCACTGGCTCGGCTTCCACCACGCTGCAGCCATCGATCTGTTGATGTGTCTCTTCTTTGCTCTTGGTGGATGCCACTGTTGATCGACATCTTCCCGGTGATATGCGTACATTCCTCACATTGCCCGGGTTCGCCCTAACAAGGGCCGCTGCGAACTTAGTGTAAGACATTTACTTTTATTTTCGAGTTACAGACAACAAAACACGAGGACCACCCTCTCACTGTGCTGTCGCTATGAGGTTGCCCTGGGAGCGCGCGCTGGATACAGAGGGGCGGTGCATCACATGTTACATGACGCTACCTCCTGGCTCTGCACGCTCAGACACACGCACACACACACACACGCACACACGCACACACAGACACACGCACACACACACTGATGCTTTTGCACATTCTCGTGCTTGACCTCAAAGCTTCTTGGAAAACAGAGAGAGATTAAAGCTTAATGTTTCCATAGCAAGTAGTTTGGAGTACTAAACAGTAAGAGGAAGGATGTACATCTTTATTTATGGGCTTTTTCTTTATACAGCACATTTTCATATGAATAAGAAAATGTAACCGGGTCATTCCTACTAGCATTCGGTGCCATTTAGGTCCCCACCACATTATATCATATATTTTGTATTAAAAGCTTGGTTTTAAATGTTTATACCCTCTACCATAAAACAAAACTAAATAATTACTCTGATTTTAGCATAAGTAGGCAAAATTGCTGTGTCCCAAATCATGTTTGCTCAACTTCTGTAACAGATATACAAAAGGAAATCAAAGAAATACAAACAAATTCTACATTTTTGTCAATGTTGTATAACCATTTTGCTAATATTCCTCATCAAATTGAAATTGTTGTTATTCATTCATTTTTATTGAAAATAAAGTGTGTGTCCCCTGTTTGAATGTCCCCCCTGTTACTCTTTGAATCCCTCTGGAAACGCCCCTTTACTATTCTACTATTTGTATGACTCAAGAAGAAGAAGGATACATTTTGAGTGGGAACCGGTGGGAACATCATCTTCAAGAAGCAGAGTGAATGCGTTCTTCCTTCAACGTTTTTTTAAAATGTTTTAAAGAACTTAACTGTTGCGGTAAAGCATAACATGTCCGCACCCTGTTATGCTAGTGGAACTGATCATTTGTTTTACATTTAGATTTTTTTTTAAATATATCTATCAAATATGTATTTCTGTTTTCACCAAGTGCTTGATTATCATCACACAAGTTTGGCATAAAATGTCCACCCTGTTACTATTTTTGACATTAACAGGGTGGACATTTTATATGTTGGGGATGGTAAAAAAAAGAAAAACGTTAAACATAATATCCTGAGCTTGACCAACATATTTTTCTTATGCTTTAACAAGCCATCATTCAGATTAAATAAAAAAAAAACATGGAAAATTATGTTTTTTATTTTTGAATACCCTAGCTGAAATGGCACCGAATGCTAGGAATGACCCAATTGTTCCCCTTGTTTCATCTTCTGAAGCTATCTTTTAACTACCTTGTTACAAGGAAAAAGATAATCAGAATACTTAATTTGTCTTAATACTGATTTTGTAAATGTAATCAAATAAAGGTAAACTTCCAATAAAAGGTTAAATAAAATTTAAAAAATTTAAAAAAACACGTGATGAACACGTCTTTCACTACTTTAAGGAGTTTGGTCAATGTGGTGCTGTGTTTTCAGACACAACATTTCTTAAAAAATAAATCATGCTTCAAAACACCTAGAAATATTACCTATACAGAGGTAGGCCTATGACCCACATACAGCAGTAACAGCTGTTATAACCATTGGGAGGGATACTGTACATACAGTAAGTATGTTCTGCATCAGCTTGTTCAAGCTCTAGTAGAAGTTTATGTTATTTACATTGAGTGAAATATTCAAACCCTAGATTCCTTTTTAAATGGCTTCACAATTATTTACAATGAAAACATTCTAGAGGTTGTTTGCATTGTTGTATACAAAGTTCTCCAACAGATGCATGTAGTTATAATTTAATGTTTAAAAAACAATATCAAGTGTGCACCATGGCTGCTTTTCTGAAGTGTTTCTAAATGAGCCGATTTCCCTTTGTTTGCTCAGCAGAGCACATCTAATTGTTGAAGGTGTTTGGTAATAATTGGTTATAACCATAGACTGTGTATATAGGTTGTAACACATCCAGAGACCTGATGCCTGAAGTTGACAGAGAACCAACCCGGACCAGGATTGAGCCAACACGAAGACAAAAGGCATGACTATTGGGTCTTGGGAGAGAAAAGGTGACACAAGAAAGGACCATGGGTCATCGTGTGTATATTTCACATCGTGTATCGCGTGTATATTTCTAATGCGTAACCCTTTAGAAGGAAACATTTGACTTTTATCTCCATTACATTAGTTTCACAACTTTGTGTCGCATCGTTAATTACAACCTATTGTGAAGTTGGCCATTACTGCATAGGCTACTTTTACTTTCGGTACGTTTAGCACATGTTGATGTTCAAAATGTAAGTTATTTTACCATTGTAACATTTTGAATGAAGGATGACTTCATTGTATTACTGTATTCCTACACTAATGCAATTAAATCATTGCTTTTTTACTCAATTTAAAGCTCAAACTAGGCAATTTCTTACACCACTGCTAGGTCTACTTGTTTACAACATTATTATGAGTTGGGTTATAGGGGAATACCATAGAAATACCAGAGCCAGTTACATGGTCCTTTCACTTACCGACAGGAGGCAGCAAATCAATAACCCTCACTACAGTCTGCTTGTATTGAGAACTAGAAGTAGACAGACCCGTTTGCTAATGTTGCTAACCAACAAGGAAGCAGCACAGCGTGCCAACTGCTAGCAATATATAATCGAAGGAAGGTGCCCTTGCTTGTGTAAAAGGTAATTGCTGTTTTCATATTTAATTCTTATTTATGAACTGAGTTTAACGTATCCTACTTTATTATTTGTTTCGTAGTGAGAGAGGAATATTGGTGTTTTTTTTGTTGCGGAAACAGACTCTCGTTAGCCCCGGCTAGCTGACCTGTCAACAAAGAGACCGATATCGTAATTACATGGACTACATAACACGTCTTAAGTCAGTTTAAACATTAAATGAAAACATGTCAAGCAGGACTGTCCGGTGTATTTGTTTTCTAATTTATTTGATGCAGCGTTACGTTGCAGAAAACGTAAGGCAAGCTAACGTTCATGTATATAACTGACGCTAGCTGAGGTTAGCTAGGCAGGCTAGCCGTGTTGAGGCTAAGGTTACTTCTGGGAAAACACCTTTCTCTGATGACTTATCACTGCTGAATGTGATGTTGTTAACCAGGACATTTCAGGATATTATCTAACGTTATTACTAAATTAATGTATTAACCCATCAATGTGTCAGTTAACCAGGGGCTGAGTTTCAATGTGTCGAAAACGTAATGAAGTTGAAGTCTTACTTGTATTTAACGTTTAATGTTAGATTCGTGTTAGTTAAACAACAACAACAGAGCGTTCACCACGATTATACGAGTATTTAGAAAAATAAAAGGGAGTGCTGGTAGATGTTCCACTAAATACTTGCAGGTGACATATTACTGGTTAAACCAGACCACTCAGGTGCAGAGTGACATATTACTGGTTAAACCAGACCACTCAGGTGCAGAGGCAGCCAGGGTTAATGAATAATGGAACATCGTAAATCATTTTGAATAGCCTTTACAATCACCAGGTCTGAATACATTACAACCAATGAGTAGGTTTTAGGGCCATAAAGTCATAACATATGTTTGCACGCAATTGTTAAACATTCAAAATGTATATTTACATGTATGACTCAGATTCACATTTATTACTATGTTTTTTTTAAAAAGATTTCAGGTTTGGATCCGAGGGCCTGTGCCATTTTGTTTTGAACTCATCATTTACTACTCATGGCTAGATCTCTGCTTTTAAATATTCTTTACTTTGAATTAAATTGAGGACTTGCAGGCGGATGGACTAAGTCTCGGATTGGAACTAGGAAGTAGAATAAGGACTACTTCAACAGCTATTTGTGAAAGCAAGAAGTGATCTAAAAGTCTGCAGGTGCCCCCATTCTCTGTCAGCAGTGCCAATCACTCAACCACCATGTCAGATGGACGGATCTATGTGGGGAATCTTCCCGTGGATGTCCAGGAGAGAGACATTGAGGATCTCTTCTACAAATATGGAAAAATCCGGGACATTGAATTGAAGAACAATAGAGGCACTATCCCGTTTGCATTCGTCCGATTTGAAGACCCACGGTGAGTTTTAGGGATGGTGTTTGGCACATCAAATCACATTCCCCTTGTCCCCCGTCTCCAGTGACTGGCAGCAGGGACTGGATGGGGACGGCATTTCCAGACCTTTGTCCGCAAGCAAACAAGCGTACTTTGGTAAGGAGTTCTTTGCTCTCTTCTCTTAGGGATGCAGATGATGCTGTCTATGGAAGGAATGGATATGGATATGGAGACTCCAAGCTGAGAGTGGAGTACCCTCGGTCCGCTGGTGCTAAATTTGGTCCTATGGGTGGTGGTGGTGGAGGAGGAGAAAGAGGTGGTGGAGGTGGACCTGGAGGACCTAAAGGAAGATTTGGACCCCCAACTCGAAGATCTGAATTCCGGGTCATGGTTACTGGTAGGTGGACGTCATGAGTCATAGCCAGATCATAATTCTCTCTTTCGCTGTCTTCTGGAGCTCATGGTGAATGGGAGTGTGTTGGTGGTAAGAGTCGTAGGAAGATACTTTCACCCTTTCTCTCATGGCGGACTGGAGGACAAGGGAACTAGTAAAGGTCGTCGCAAGTTGTAGACAGTACATTTCTCTCTTTCTTGGCGGAGTGGAGGACAAAGAGACTAGTAGAGGAAATCATGAGCCGTAGGAAGATTTGTTTCACACTCTCTCTCATGATGGACTGGAGGACAAGAGAACTAGTATTTGACATCACAAGCCGTAGGCAGATAACTTTTTCTCTCTCCAATGGCGGACTGGAGGACAAAGGGACTAAAAAGATCATCATCCATCCTAGGCAGATATGTTTCTCTCTTTCTTGGTGAAGTGGAGGACAAAGAGACTAGTAGAGGAAATCTTGAGTCATAGGCAAGTATGTTTCTCTCTCTCATGCCGGATTCAAGGACAAGGGAACTAGTAAAGGACGTCATCAGTCATAGGCAGATATGTTTCTCTCATGGCGGATGAAGGTCAAGGGGACTAGTAGTGGACATCATGAGCCTAAGGTAGATCTTCTCTCTCACGGACTGGAGGACAAGAGACCTAGTTAAGGACATACAAGTTTTAGGCAGAAGTGTTACTCTCTTTCTTGGCGGACTGAAGGACAAGGGGACTAAATGGATGAGGTCAAGTCAGCTTTTTAAGTCATGAAAAACAAAACATTAACGGAAACCGGTCATGTTGGCTGCATAAACCCAAACACCAACTATAGCGAATGGTAGGTGTATTTTTGTCATTACAGCAATAACTGTTGTATGCTACCGTTTAAACAAGCATGCTAATATCAGCTGTAGATTAGGACTGCTTATCTAACTCCAACTCCTCCCAGTTTATTCAGTTGCATGGCTATGCAGGCGATACTAAAGCAGATTTCTGAAAGAACATTGGATTTGATTATATAAGATTTGTTATTTATCATAAGCTCAAACTTCATAAAACATGCTTTTAAACCTATTACTAAGGTTGCCAGGTATTTTAACTTTAAAAGAAGAAAGTCATTTCTGTCCCTAACAAATGTAGTCTTTTACCATTTCAGGATTACCACCAACTGGGAGCTGGCAGGATCTGAAGGATCATATGCGCGAGGCAGGGGATGTTTGTTTTGCAGATGTGCAGCGTGATGGAGACGGGGTGGTAGAGTTCCTCCGTAGAGAGGACATGGAGTACGCATTGCGCAGACTGGATCGGACCGAGTTCCGCTCACATCAGGTGAGTGCCTGTGCTGTTGAGATTCAAATGTCCCTTTTTAATCATAAGAGGTTAAAACGAACAATATCCAATATTCCTCCTTTTGTAGGGTGAGACTGCTTACGTCCGTGTCTACGAGGAACGGGGCACTCCCAGCTTTAACCGCTCACGTTCCCGCTCCAGATCCAGAAGTCGCTATACACCTCCCTACCATAACAGGGGGTCTCCTCCTGCTCGCTACCAGTCACCTCCACGCCATGCTATGTCGCGCCATAGTCCGCGCCATAGTCCGCGCCATAGTCCGCGCCATAGTCCACCCCCCAGGAGGCACGCTCCACAGCACCATAGCCCACCACCACCACGTCATTACCGGTAAAAAGGCACTCCATTTATAGAGGAATTGGGGGAAATGTTTTGTAATTCTACTTCTTAATTTTTTTGAAACCCCAGGCCTCCTTGTAAGAAAAGTCATTGTTATTACTATTTACATTCCATGTTCACGATCACCCTGCTCCTCCCCAATGCCTTAAAGATAATTTGTCTTTGTTTTTTAAACACCCATTTGTGGTATCTGGAATCGGGATTGTTGTTTTTTCTTTTTTAGCGAGGTAATTATATTTGATTATCATATAATGTATTGCAGATTTCTTTTATAAAGAAATCCTGGGGTGTGGTGTCAAACCTTGACGGGGAAGATAGCTTTTAGGCTAAAAGTCATATTGCTTAAATTCTTCACACGATTTTTCTTATTGTGTGTTTCATCCAGTAGATTTAATCATACACTTGCCAATCTGAGAATCTGTGAAGCTAATCAATATCCTACTCTGATTCAAAACATGTATCCTGTGAGCCTTTTAGACTAGTGCCACATGTTGACTGTGAGTCTCACCTGTCAGATTTCTTTTTTTATGTGTGATCGAGGTGGCCTGTTGTTGGATTATAATTTGTATGCATCTCTAATGTTGTTTTTTCTTTACAATAAAAATGCAAACTTTTTATGGTCTTTTTTTCCTAAATCTTGTTTTTAATAGATCCTAACTACTATTAATCTAACTCATTTTCAAAAGGTTGAGGCAGATGTTAACCTTAACCATGGCTTTATTTTATTCAAATGTCCCATTGAGCTGGCATGCTAAATTAAAGGCTCCCTTAGCAGCTATAAGTAATTGTATTATTTGCAACCTGTATTTAAAGCAAAGCAAATATTTTATTGTAATTTTGATAATGGCAAGCTGTAAAAAACTTGAACAGAAAGCTGTCAAATATACAACACCAATGGTCAGTAAAGATATAGTACTTTCTGAAATGCATAAAATCAAGGCTGTTGTAGTCCAGCTCTTTCATCAAAAATCCCTGCAGAAATGAAATCAGCGTCTCAATACTTGTGTTGCTTGGATTGAAGTGAAACAAATAAAAAATACCGTTGCTAAACTTGAGTATAAAAGTGTAAAGTGCGAAGATAAAAACCAGGCACATGGGATGCAAAATATAATATTTTTTTAATACGCAATAAATGAATTTTACCAGATGACAATTTTGAGAGGACAGAGAAAAAAATAAAAAATATATTTATTTCCAATGGCATATTTGTATCTTTCTGTTCCTGTTCCTTATAATCAGATAAAGACCATATACAGACATCGTATTGCATTTATATAAATATGTACGAGCTTAGTTTCTTTCAAACACATTGCTTACAGTAAATCTTCTGACAACAAACACAGCAATACACAAACAGCAATACTCAGGCATGTTTTAGAAGATCATGTGGAGACATTAGCAGTGGAATCCAAACACTTGTGGGAAAGCTGCTGTGAACCAAACAAGGGTGTGTTATGGCTATTTTGCAATTGTAAGTGGCAGCAATGAAACTATAGGTCACATAGAGAATTTTGTATTTGTGTTGAAGATTTGGGACATCCCTCTGGAATATCTGCTAAACTGATTATCACAGACCCCGTTAGGCCAATTAAAACTATTGATATAAAGTCTTCCTGAACATTGTTTCTTTAAATATATGTTGATTTCAGCTGAACAAATACAATTCCCATTCACAATATTTGATTAGCATCAGACAATTCAGTGGTGTGAACATACGCACATAAAACCAAGTTTATCTGTATGGCTACATACCACTGACCAGCAAGCACTAAACAACCCTAAATGACGAAGACAGCTTCAAAAATATCAAATTATCAGGAGTATCTAAAGTAAATCTGCTGACCATTGCTGTCAAAAATGATAAAATGCACTTCAATGGACTGAGCACAAGTTCACTGCTCTTTCAACTGATCAAACTACGGATGTAGCCTATCAAGGTGGAGGGCGCTGAACAAAATTAAGAAACAAAATGTAGGCAAGAAAAAGGGACAAACTGAAACCATGTATGTGATCTGAAATCTCATGAGGAGCAGAGTTCATTTTCAACTGCTATGAACACAGGGATCTTGAGGTAATAAAGAGAAATGCACATTTACTCCAGGAAATAGCTACAGGTATTGTAAGACTAGAGTGTGTTAGAGACAAGGCAACCAAGATGGCAGGGCAATACATTGGCAGAAAACCATAACATTGATTGTAGGGTAAAAGCGAATAAGAGAGTGCAAAGGAAGCATGCTGCCTTCACTGCACACCACTTTCAGTTTACCACCAGCTCAAAATCAACCACACCAGCTACCGCAATGCTGCAAGGAAATATAATCTGTTGGCACTGTACTATCTTGATGTTGTGAAAAAACAACAGCATATATCTTCCGCCTGAGCAGCATAGTGTTATCTAAGGAGAGAAAAATGTGTCTGCATTGAACCAGTAGCAAGAACCAGTCTGCAAAGAAACAATGCATAGCCAAGGTCAGAGATAGAAGGAGCTCAATGTTTAGGAACTTGGTACAAGAGGAAAGATGGTATTTATATGCAAACTATGTGCAATCATGCCCGAGTGCACAGAGATCACAGGTTGGGTCTGGATTTCCTCCAAGCTTGTGTGCATTAGAGGCAAAAACAGGAAGAGGACCATCACGCCTCAGAGAAGCCGGTAATTTGTCCTAAAATGGCTGTTGAGAAGCAAACCACACATGCTACTTAGACACAAACTCCTCTAATGTACATTTAACGCTCACAAAACCAAATCATCCAGTAATGGTGGACATCATTACTGAAAATATATTCAAGAAGGTTAGTCATGGTAGCTACAATTTAAGCAAAAAAGATGATATTTAAAATATATTCAAGTGCATCACAAGATGTGCGTGTAACTGAACAAAAATAACAATACAGAGAATAATTTGGTTGCTGGATCCCTGAAAAAATAGCTTAATTTAAGGCAAAATAAATAACATCCTGAAGCAGTTCCAACAATGGTACATTCACTAGGTGAACAATATCACATAAAAAATAAATGTACTGGCAATAATTCCATCTCCCCTGAATATACATGTAGAGAGGAGCAGCTGGGATTAAGTTGTTGTACAACTATCTTAGAATACTGGATTTACCAATCACTGTATTTCATAAACATGTCTTTCCCTTTGAATAAATTACTATTATGTGGTGTCAGTGTCTTGAAACAATTCAGCACAAAGAAACGTGGCAGCAGAACAGTTGTGTCACTTGTTTTCTATGAGCGTCTGTACTTTGTTGACCAAGTCTCGCGCCATCATCAAGACCTGCGGGACGTTGTGTCGCTCTGCCATTTCTGAGAAAACAATTGGAAAACCATAATTATTTACAATAATATTGCTAATATTTAACTGTTTATTTTCCCCTTAAGACTGAGAGAGCTGCTTTTGAAAGTACCCTACAATATCATAGCTGATCAATCTAGTTTTAATTATGAATATGCTCTGGTAATTGTCAACACTTGTTTCCATCATATTGTAGAATTGTATTTCTCTTCTCTTACCATTAAAGAACTTGATGATGTCTGTGAAGTCCATGTTATTTTCTAGGATGATGTCTCTATACATTTCCACAAGTGCCAGAGCGATGAAGAGGACAAAGTGCTCGGAGGAGATGTACTTGGCTGCCCAGATTGTTTCCCACACAGAGTAAACATCATCATACACCATTTCTGTGCAAAAAAGACAACCAGGATCAGATTACATACAGTATAACATTATATAAAATCATCTTAAATTGTCAATTCTAGCAAATGTCATGATGCGTGTGTTTGCCTTCACCTCTTTTAAAGTCGAGTAGAAACCATCGATAACAGAAGTAAAAGTGTGTGTAGTCTCCATTCTGCTGCATCAGTTCAAACAGCTCAGAGTCCAGGATCTATTTGTGTAAAAATAAGATGTCATTATTACACTATAGCTTTTGTGTATATGCATTCATTCACATCCGCTGGTGCGCATTTATCCACATACCTGGATAAGAGAACGCATATTGGCGAAGTGAGAGTCCATGGCACCTCCATGAGGAAAGTTCTGGTTCATCCTCTTCATCATTTCAGTGAAGCAGCTGAATGCCATGACCTCTGGAAAGCACACACATAAAAAAGCAAATTTAGCCATTTAATTGCATTAAAAAAAAGTGTATACTGAGAGTTTTTAGTTATTTTTCACTGACCATCGTCCAGAATAACCAGTAGGGGAGCTAGCAGATCACACATGCCCTGGACGTAACCTGTATCGAGATGCTGCCACACATAACTGCAAAGACAACGATAGTTACGTCTGTAACTACGGTTCTATGAGTCCCGGATGCTTTAGCACTGGATATGTCCATCGCACGCATGCGCAGCTCGAGTACCAATAACAACAAAGTCACCTGTGACTCACGTGACACCGGCTATATATGCCGGTGTCGTCAGAGGATCTGTTTCCAGAATCTTCTCGCGAGCACACAATAATTCTGAGTGACAGGATATTCTGGTGGTCATCCGGGACTCATAGAACCGTAGTTACAAACTTAAATATTGTTCTATTTCGTCCCTACTGACAGAGGCAGTGCTTTAGCACTGGATGACTTATATCAACAATGTCATGAAGAATCCAAGCACTTACTTACCTAGCCGGAAGCAGCGGAGCTCGGCAACAGGACCACGCCCAAAGCGTGGGGAGTGGCGACATTGACCCGGTAGAACCTGGAGAATGTGCCAGAAGACTCCCACGACGCTGATGGTCTCCAGGGGCACCCCTCTCAGGGCAGCCCAGGATGTTGAGATGCTCCTCGTAGAGTGGCATCTCAGCCCTGATGGCAGGGGGCGGCCACTGGCCCCATAGGCATGTGAGATGGCATCGGGACAGCCGCTGTTTAGAGAGAGCACAACCCTTCCTAGTGCCGCCATGGCAAACAAAGAGCTGCTCTGACCGCCGTATACAGGCCGTATCATCAATATATATGCCCTTAGGGCACTCAGCAACTCAGGCGTGCCGCTCTTCTGTGGAATGTTAAAGCGTGCCAGCTGGATAGGCCGATTGGAGTGGGCTACACTTGGGCAGGAATGCCACATTCGGCCCGAGGGCAACACCCGAGCCATCGGAGTTCCACCTCAGGCATGTATCGCTCACGGAGAGGGCATGTAGCTCTCCAACTCGCTTCCCTGAGGTTATGACAAGCAGAAATGCTGCCTTCAAGGACAGCCACTGAAGCCCCACCTGGGCCAGGGGCTCGAAGGGAGGAGATGATAGGGCATCCAGCACTAGGGGCAGGTCCCAAGCCGGAGCCCTCGGGGTGCTAGGGGGACGCCGCCGTAGAGCCCCTCTCAGAAAGAGGGACACCAACCTGTGGAGCCCCACCGCGGCGCCTTCGACTCCAACATGTCGGGCAGAGATAGCAAACATAGCAGACATATACACCTTCAAAGTGGAGTGAGAACGTCCACTATCCAGAAGGGACTGCAGGAACTCTAAAATGGTGGCCACAGAGCAATGCCCCGGATTCTCAGCCTTACTCAAACACCAGTGGGAGAAGAGCTTCCATTTGCACTCATACTGCGCCCGAGTGGATGGTGCTCTGGTATTCAGGATAGTTTCCCTGACAGATGCCGTGAAAACGCTCAACAGCGGGTTGGGCCCCGCAGAGGCCAAGCCCAGAGCTGAAGGCGGTGAGGGTCGGGATGCCAGATCTGACCCCTGAGCTGTGACAGAAGGTCCTTCCTGTCGGGGAGACGCCATGGTGGTCTGCAGCAGAGACTGCACAGCAGTGGGAACCAAACTCTCCCCGGCCAGCAGGGGGGCAACCGGAAGGAGCCTGTGCCCCTGAGTAAGGACCCTCTAAAGCGTCTGTAGTATCAGAGGCAGTGGCGGGAAGGAATACAGGAGACTGTCTGGCCAGTCGTGCGCCAGAGCGTCCTGACCCATCGGGCTGGTCACCTCTGCCCAGGAGAACCAGAGGGGGCAGTGCCTTGACTCTTCCGAGGCAAAGAGGTCCACCTCGGCCCTGCCGAAAAGGCTCCAGATTGTCTCCACCACTTCTGGGTGAAGCCTCCACTCCCCTGGTGGAGGTTTGTGCCGTGAGAGGAAATCTGTGACCTGATTTAGGTTTCCTGGTAGAACGACTGGCGAGGCGGGGGAGCGCCCAAGG